CGTTGATTCAAGTGCACCGTAGTTAGTCCAAAATTATCCGAAGTCTTCATTCAACCTGCGTCATGATCACGTATTTCAGACGAGTTTTTTTTTCTACAACGGCCTGTTATTTCTCGCACTCTTATTGGAAGTATTATATTTAAGTGGAGATGTGTTTTTTTTAAGGTTTAGGTTAATTTCATCCTATATACGTAGCACTCTCTGGTTAGCTGTATCATCTTGCTACATGAACAGGTTGCGCGGCTTCTGTACTTCTACCTCTATTTACGCCGTAATTATGCTTTGTTAACCTCTTCTGTGAGCTTCTCTGCCTTGCGGCACCAATTGCCTTTGTGAATTCAAACTTTGTAGTTTCACTTGTCAATGAACATGGTGGCATTAGTAGGTTGTAAATAAATAAATAAATAAATAAATGAATAAATAGTGTATTGTGTTACTGCAAGAGAAAGCCCAGAAGTTATTGAATTTCTATCCAACCCCACTGGTATTCCAATGCAATATGAAATGAAACAAGCATTCCCCCAAACCGAATATCTAGGCATACCAAATCATTTACTTCCTGCTAATTCTGTTCAACGAGCTCTTGAATTCATATTACGAATGTTTGCCTGAGGGGGTTTTCACTTGTCCTTCTCGCACATCCCGTACATTACGTATAGGTTTGAAGTACTCATATTTTCTGTCTGTTTGCTATAAAAACTATTTTGCAACATGTATTTAGAATAAGCACTCTGATATATATTACTTATACCTCTATGCATTGTTCCTTCTAGAATAATATATATATATATATATATATATATATATATATATATATATATATAGATATATATATATATATATATATATATATATATATATATATATATATATATATATATTATATAACGCGTTCGATGAGCATCGAACGCGTTATTCGAAGGTCGTGGGTTTGATTCCTGCTCACAGCTGGTAATTTTTTCATGCACTTTTCTTTCTTCTTTCATATATATATATATATATATATATAATATATATATATATATACTATATATATATATATATATATATATAATTATATATATATATATATATATTATATATATATATATAACGCGTTCGATGAGCATCGAACGCGTTATTCGAAGGTCGTGGGTTTGATTCCTGCTCACAGCTGGTAATTTTTTCATGCACTTTTCTTTCTTCTTTCGTATTATTTACATTCCATTGGTTCTAATAACTTCCCCTGTACATTCCTTGGCATTACTGTCTGTATAATACTATATATATATATATATATATATATATATTATATATATATATATATATATATATATATATATATACGGCTGGTTATTTTTTCACCACTTTTCTTTCTTCTTATTTACATTCCATTGGTTCTAATAACTTCCCCTGTACATTCCTTGGCATTACTGTCTGTTATATCTCATTATTATTGTGTCAAAACACGGAAAAACGAGCCCTTAGTATACACTACTTTCGCTATATATATATATATATTATATATATATATATATATATAGATATATATATTATATATATATATATATATATAATATATATATATATATATATATATATTTTTTATATATATATATATATTCCACTTGAGCTCATACTGTTCTCACAAGGCAATTTGTAAAAAAAAAGAATGCCATTGCGTGGGCGTGCTCCGGTATGCAGGGCCAATAACTATGCTTAAACCTGTAATCAAACGCGCGACACAGACGTCTTTTCCGGCACGAGAAAAAAATCTCCACTATTAAACATTGACTTTTCCGCAACATTAGGTCACTCGCTTCTTCTCTTAGTTTTTGTACTCCCTAGAAAATTGTGTGACCAGGCTTTCGAAGGGACGATGCACTGGTGCATTGGCGTTAAGTGTTGCTAAAGTTTTTAAGAGAACTTAATTTACATCGTTCTTAAGTAAAACCTATCAGTCAAATTTCATACAATATTCTCTTTTGCATGTTTTGACCGAGATGACTACAGAATCGAGTGATCACGTGTCTTTTTAGGCTTCGGTAATAACTTCACCGATAAATGGATCGCAATGATCCCCTGTGATAGTTGTCCTTATTTTTCAGTGCCATTGCGGACTTCGATGCTTTGAAATATTCTCTTGGGACTACATACTTCTTGGCAAGTATTCACAGGCTCAGACAACGTCTGTACTCGAATTTAGGCACTAAAAAAGACAACCAAATGGACAAAAAAAAAGATGATTGACGCATGCAGTGAAGTAAGGTTTACCGGAATAGGCTAAAGTGTTTTGAAGGCTCGTAAAAGACTCAACTGCAAGTGGTGGTGCTTTGTTAAAACGAAGTGCGCTGTAACTTCCTCTTCAAAACTCGAAGAATTCTGTGTGTCACTTGGCTCTGCAGTTTATTCGAAAATTATCGTTCATTTGATAACGAGATTGTGACATCATGAGAAAACGGTACTGTTTTCCCCCTTTCTGGAAACTCTCATGAATCGGTTGTCAATATATGGGCCACTTTTTTCCCTAAAAATACTTACTTTATTCCGATTGAATTTTCTTAACTATATTTCATTTTTACTTTGTATCCTAATACGACTGCGGGTTTTTATCACACCCTGTCAAAAATATAGAAGCTGAAAAGCTTTCATATAGGAGAAACTCAAAGTTACGATTGGCCCACTAAGCCATGTATTATGACAGCTGAAAGTGGGCACGCAGAACAGCACAGGCGTTGTCTCCTCTGTTGGCGCTCTCGTCATGACTTACTGACCCCTTATGAATGCACATCGTGTAATATGAAACTCGTTGTGGTGCGGGGATTCACCTTGGAATGTGCACAGAGAACGCAGCTTCAGAACAGACTTTTCGTAATGTGCATTTTGCGCTCTTGTGCCTCCTATTCCTTGATTTTCGATGTTCGCTAAATCTGCAAGTTAATTTGGGCAGACGCTGGCTCCTCAACTGTACGCTGTGTTTACCATGAATGTCTGGGCACATGCTAGCGATGATGTGGTCTAGGGTGCTCCTCGGAATGGTCAGTATTACAGAAGTACTCTGAACGTTTTTTTTTCAACTGACTATCCTGGAACTTTACAATTTAAAAGAAATGATCTTAAAATATGTGCATGTTTCATAGCGAGCATATGGCGTGTTATAGACGTACTCTTTTTTTAAAGTGTCACGGAAGCACTCTTAACTTCTTTAAATGACCACCGTCTTACATTATAATTAAAAAGAAAATTTTTTCATTGAGAGTGCATGTGTCTCCATTTTCTCATTTCATTGACGAACGACTATCTCCACTTAGTGTCCTGCAATCCACCTGGCAAAAAAAAAACTGTATAGTCCACTATAGCCACATTTTCATAACGCCGAGTCAGTCGCCAGTGCAGCGTAAACAATTAGAAACTCGTTCTGGGGGAGTATATCTCGAATGGAGACATCAATCACGCTTCTGGCGTAACTCTAGCGGATTTCGGTCTTCCAGTGTCGTAAAAAAAACTCCAGCTACAGCTGCCAGTTTACTGATTTACTGTGTTCTCATGCCTAACAGTTTTGTTTTGCGACTTCTTATGACCAACCAAATATTTAAACGAATATTAGAAGCATATCCGTTTGGGGGGAAACATCATTCTGATCTCTTGCGATCCTCGAGAGCACAGCAATATTGTAGGCACTTTCTTTTGGGTAATGCAGGGTGCGCGTCTAAGTTCTGGCGTCTTCTGAATGAAACATTTACTCGCGTAACATTTTCAGGAGCCGTGAAAACTAACAAAGCTACCGTGTCTTAGTTTATTTGAAATTCTCGTTTGCCAACCTGTTTTAGGGGGGTGGGGGGGGGGGGGGGGAGGGCGAATGAAGACGGAAAAGTGAGTGGCGAAACTAATACCCATGTGTTCAAAAATAACTGCTGAGGCGTTGTGCTGTTATTCACAGCAATCCAGGTTCCAGAGTGGTTCACAGTAGTCAACTTTGGATGGGTGCGAGGCTCAATAAGAGCCATGCGCATATAACCTCAGAGGGCCTAATTTCTTTGCAATGCAGTGTAGTGAAGCTGTGTCGTGGCCGAACGTGGGAGAGGCCTTTGCCCTGCATGGGGCGTAGTTAGGTTGGTAATGATGATGAGGGTGAGGGGTATATTCATAGTTTACTGACATGCCAGCGCGTGCAGTTTCTTGTTCATTTACAGCGCCAGTCGTTCCAGTGAATAGCAGAACTCTACGTAAGCAAAAGGCAGCCTCTCTTACGCACGTGGTTCTTTCGAGCAATACCGTCTTTTGTAGTGGGAAAAAACAAAAAAAAAAGATCTACCAGGCGTGCGCGAAATGCGCAGCACAGTCACAGCGCAAGCTGAAAAAGTGACCTTTGTAGAGCATTTTTTTCCACTTTTGGTGCAACTGCTGTAATCGCAGTCTCATGCTACTGACAACGCAATGAATATTATGAAGCATTCATTATGCCAATAGTCGTCCTTCTTCGAAAAAGTGTGGTACCGGCTAGACAATTATGTGGCATTCCACACAGTTTCTCAATGATATGGTTGACGTTGGAGAAGAATGTTCTGAGGCTTTTGGAGTAGGTTTCAGCAATTAACGACATGCTCGTTACGCAATTCGCAATGAGTGATGCTAGGCTGTTGTTTTACCGTTACAAAGCACCTCATTCGGCATGTTCATGCGATTCCTTATTCCACAGGCATAAGGTCAGTTTAAAACAGCGGTGCAACCTTTAGCGTCACTGATTAAAAGAACATGAGGCCATCACGAAAGGAATCCACGCTTGAACCCCGTTCCATCGTTTTTGCTTTTTGTCTTATTTGCAATTTTTTATTATTGCGCGGCTGCGGACACCGGTGGTGGTGGCAGACAACCACGACTACCTTGTTGTGATCTCATCACAGCTTTCACTGTAAGATGAACAGGTGGACCATCAGTAGATGTACTACTTATGTCACAAGATATGCATGAAAAAGTACTTTATTAACTCATATTTCCTCCATACCACTCCCCTGTGTTTTATTTGATAGTTGAAAATTCATCCAGGCGTCTTCATTCAGCTCATTTTGCTGGACATTGCGTAGTGCAGTGTGCCGGGCAATTGCTTTTCGGGCAACGTCTGAAGTGGGATTGAAGAGATATTTCAATAAAAGTTAGAGCAGTTGTCTATAAAAATTGTACAGTGGCTATTGTGAACCTAAAAAAGTTATTTCACTCGCTAATTCACAGCCACGAATCTTTCAGCGACCATGGGAGTGATGGTTTGTACATATACTTGCCTAGTCTTTGTTAGTGGTTTTGTTTATTGTTGTTTCGGTTTGTTTTGGTAAAGGAGCGAACCATTTTGAACTTCATGAGTAGATTGGTAAGTCTAAAAGATGGTGAATACAAGTGCAGAACATTTGCTGGCTGGTGTTTCCTGAGAAAGCAGCTCCAGGCCATGATAAGCCAAACAGAGCAGAAAGTGCGAAGATTAAACAAATCCATCTCACGCTCACTGAAGGGCTTTGCGTCTCTGGTCTCATAAACAACAGTATACATAGGAAACTATATACTGTAGCTCAGCTGCGATTCTTCTTGGGTGAGCGGGAGCGAGGAAGGTGGTATTACAGTCAAATGAGTCGGGAACAGGCCGTGCATGCAACGAGGGACGCCACGACGCCTTGACTAAAGTCGCCAACTGAAGGCATGTGAGGGCATTGCCAAAATAACACTCTGTTTAAATCGCGCTAAAATATGACACCCACGTTGCAGGGATCAGAGCAATGATAAGTTACCCCACTTTACCGCTCCAAGATGGGGACACCACTGATCTGACGAAGACCACTATCAGAGGTCTCTCTGAGCTATAAAAGACGTGTTTGTGAAGCCACAAGAGTTTGTGACGGTGGAGCAGTACATAGCGTGCTTAGCTCCTTTCGCTCCGCACCGAGGTGCTGTTTGTTCAGCACCCGTTGACAAAACTTATCTTTTTGAGATCTGATGGTCTAAATGTCAGAGGTTACTTCCGTGACAGATATACGTAACTGAAATCTTGGTGGGTCCCAGAATACAACGCTTTCATGCTAAAAAGCCATGTCTGACGAAAGCGGCCAGTTATATAAAACTACTGTCGGCTATGTGCAGCACAAATTCACTGGAACACTCTGGTAGATTCGCAGTATTGTACTGCCAACTGTATTTGCCTTCCCAGACAATTCAGCACCACTCATTGGTAAATTATCCCACTCAGTGGGCCCCATTTTAACACACTAATCACTCTGGGAAGTATTGCGGTTTGTGGTGCGACACTGTAACTATACCAGAGAGTTCCGGGGTGTCTACTACATATAATTGTGTGTCGTTTTTCGTCAACAACTTTTTTCGTCAGTTATAGTTTTTTTGTCATTTCGACATTATTTACGGCAGGCAATGACTCTCATCGAAACGATGGCGCTGCGAGATGTCCCGAACTTGTGGCCATGCCCTATATCCATGTCATATGAACTTTGCCGCAGTATGACATATACTGTCCGATGTGCACATATATTTTTACGCCTGACCAGTATTACCAGGATTATACATGTTATCGTAATATTTTCACGCCCAAGATGATGTGTCCTTAGCTACGTATAAAGTTGCTGAATAATCTAGACTTAAAACAACTGAGGTGACTTCAAACCCAATGCGTGTATTCCGACAGCAACATGAAAATAAAATTATTCCTAGAAGTAAAACTCGATAGCCCACAAGTGTGCTTGCCATGATTTTGCATAAAGCATTGGGTATGATCTTATAGAGACGCCGCATGGATCAAGAGGTAGGTGAATATTGTTGAACATATATTGAAGGTAATTGCACGTTTCATGTAAAACGTTACATTAATTTCACATGAATGAACGCCACTTATCGTGGTATTCAACTCGTATTAATCATTCTGTGCACCCAGCAATAAGTGCATATTGTAAGTTGCACATACTCTGCTGCCCGTCAGGTCAAACATTGCGGTGAATATGTGGGTTTATTTAGTCTCTATGCTATGTGCAGCCCCTCAAACAAGTCCTTGTTTATCATTTTATAAAACATGCAAGGTCTCATATTTATTGGAGTGAGACAGTTAGAATGCTCGAGCCAACCGGTGTTGAGATTTCACCACAAAAATCTCGTTGCGCGACGATAGCAAAGATATTTTTCAGACATGGTAATGCCGGAAATAGACGAGTGCGTGGAGTTCCTTTGTCTTCATGCAGAAGCTGTGCTATTCTTCATGTGAATGATTCCACTATTTCGCCTCGACGCAAACTTTCCACTAAAGGTGACATTCGCGGAAAACGTTATTCTTTCAAATTCGTTACAGCTAAAATGTCACTTAAATGTGTTAGAACGTGTACGTATTTATTCTGTTTTCATATATCTGTCGAAATAGACTTTTATTTTATGTACTTGTAGTACTTATGGAGTAAGAGGTTATTTAAATTCTAGCTCAGTACTACTTTCCCATGTTGACAAACGAATCCTTCTAACAGTCCTTGAATAGGCTCTCGTGTCTCAACTGTATAATAACAGGAAATTTTCGAATAAAGGCCCCAAAAGCTTGGGGCCCCAAAGTCTTTTACGTATGGACGCTTTGGGTGAAGCAGAAGCAACGAGCTTTCGAATAGGGTGTGCGGTGCTTTGGATACTCCCCATATTTCATGTAACTCTAGTTTTGGCCGATAGCCGTCACATCATTGCGTGCTGTCACGTTTGGTTAACCCAAAACATTTGAGGCAGGCTTTAATTCTCCCGCTAAACGTGAGAAATAGGGTCCCCAATCCAAAACCCAAACGCGGTTTGGGTTTTGCGCATGCGTGATCTTGACGCTATTTCTCCGGGGCCTCAAACTTCTGGTGCCCCTATTCAAAAACTCGCTAATAACCACCCGCTACGTGTAATTACACAAGCTTTCTTTTTTCTTCCACACAACTAACAGGTGTAGTGAAGACATACAAGACGCACATAAACTCGCAAAACAAAATTTAGTGACCTTCTTTAGCTATAAAGCACTTAAGGTTACTAAATGACTAAATCAAACTCGTAAACACACAACAAGTCTATCCCGACAGTTGCTTCAACGACAGCCAGAATCTTTTTCTGCGAATAAATGAAACGCTCATTGCCACAACCATCACCAATATATATATATATATATATATATATATATATATATATATATATATATATATATATATATATATATATATATATATATATATATATATATATAGCATAGATACAATGAATGATAATCTGACCTGTATCATTACGGAGTGTGCAGTGGAAGTTGGAGGCAGGGTAGTTAGACAGGACACTGGCAAGGAGGAGGAGGAGGAGGAGGAATAAATGAGGAAGGACAGGGAAGTTAACACTGGCAAGCTTTCCCAGGAAACGAAGAATCTCATTAAGAAGCGTCAAATCATGAAAGTCTTAAGTACAACAGACAAAATAGAACTGACAGAGCTTTCGAAGTTGATTAATAGGCGTAAGGTATCCGACGTAAGAAGGTATAACATGGAGAGAATTGAACACGCTCTGAAAAACAGAGGAAGCGTCAAAGCAGTGAAGAGGAAACTTGGGATAGGCAAAAATCGGACGTATGCACTAAGGGACAAAGAAGGCAAAATGACTACCAATATGAATAGGATAGTTAAAATAGCGAAGGAGTTTTACAGAGATCTGTACAGTAGCCGGGACAACCACGACTTTAATACTATAAGAACTAGCAGTAACCCAGATGACACCCCACCAGTTGTTGTTGTTGTTTTAGCTGTTTTGCTGTGGAGAGGTTGAGGAGCTTATTGCCTCGGCTACTCCATATCACAGAGTTCTGCAGCGAAAAATAAAATAATAATACAGGACGGTACCCAAAAATTAAAAATACGGAAAAGGAAAAAAAAAAAAAAACACATAATAGCACACTGAAACCAGTTCAAATAAAATGTCAATACACAGTTTTCTTCACGCAGTTCACACAGTCATGAACTACTTTCACGCACACCTTCCTACTCTAATGCCAGTATATACATGACCACACTTTACATGATACTCATTTCTGGCTGTCAGTCATAGGCGCTTGTCCAGTCCGGTCTCCACTAAAAAGTCTGTCAGGAAGATTATTGCCTTTTTCTGAAGATGCATCTCAGGCCATGGTCCAAGTAGTTTCTTTATTGTGAGGGGCCGTCTGTCCAAACTTGCTAATTTGTTCTTTAATTTTTCTCTTTCTTTCGCGTATTTAATGCACTCCAAAAGAATATGGCGAACATTTTCTTCTGCATGACCACAATGGCATTCCGGTGAGTTGGATTGATGTATCTTGTGCAGGAAGCTGTTTGTGTATGCTACTTCCAATCTAAGTCGGTGGATCAATGTCTCTAGGTGTCGTGGAAGGTCTGTCGCTATGGAAAATTTTCTGTGTGGATCAACTTCATAAAGTACCGTTTCCTTTGATTTAGGGCTCTCAAACCACTTCTCCATCGAACAATGGTTAGCTCCTTGCGATATAAAATGTCGAATATCCGTCCCAGATATAGGTATTGTGCAATCCCGTCCTTCATTCAATGCTTTCTTTGCGAGACTATCCGCATCTTCATTTCCCTTTACTCCAATGTGGCTGGGTATCCATTGGAATACGATGTTGTGACCCTGCGATGAGGCATATTCCACAGTTTCTGCGATACATTGTGGTATTTCACCATTTCTGTAAGGTGATCTCACATTTCTGATTAGCTGAAGAGCAGGTTTGCTATCAGTGCATATCACCCATTTTCGTGGATCTGGATTCTCGCAGATAAGCTTAACTGCTTCAAAGATAGCCACCAATTCTGCTGTCGTCGATGAAGATTTGTGCGATAATTTGTACATCTTCTTTTCCTGCATTTCGGGTATAAAGACCGCACAGGCTGACGCTTCTTCTGTGCATGATCCATCTGTATATATCTTCGTTTTTTCATTATGCATTACATGAAGCTGATGAAGTACCAACTGTGCCGCTACTAGAGGTGCCATGGCTGCTTTCTTCTCTATGCCGTCTATTTCACGGATAACGTTGAGAAGTGGCAGCGTCCAAGGTGGTTTTGAAGGTTTCCATTGTTTAAATTCTGGTACTACTGCTTGAAACGATGATATAGTATCCTGTAGTCTCGTTGCCGTTCTTTGTGTTAGTGCACCAGATAAAAAATGACTTTCATGTTGCGTGAAAATTCTAAATAAATTTCGAGATGTTTCTTTAGTTCGCAGTACTGCCAAAGGTGGCTCTCGAGCCTCCGCATACACCAAATCACTGGAAGTTGACCGTGGTAAACCCAGACATACCCTCAAGCTCCTTGCCAATAACAAGTGAAGTCTCCTTTCGGTGGAGGCTGGGAGTCCGTGCAGCAGGGGCAGTGAGTAAGTTACGATGGGGCGTATCCAGGCAACATGTAGGGCTAATAACGATTCTGTAGTACCACCCCATTTGGCCCCGCAGAGATGCCGGAGGATTCGAATGGCCTGATTCACTTTTTGTTCCAGGGACTGGACATGAGGCGACCATGTTAGTCTCCGGTCTAAAATTACTCCCAAGAATTTATGAGTTTTAACCATTTTAATAGGCTGATTTTGCAGAATAATCTGGAAATTTCCAGGTCTTTTTAATGTAAACGGAAGTATGGCTGTTTTGGCCAGACTCAGTGCCATACCTCTTTGTTTTAGAAAATGGTCTACATTATCCAATCCTTCTTGTAGAGTTTGTTGTATATTCAAAAACGATGGACCCGACGTCCATATACTTATATCATCCCACCAGTGATAATACAAAAAGTCAGAAAAGCTTTGGAGAGCATGCAAAGAGGCAAAGCTGCTGGTGAGGATCAGGTAACATCAGATCTGCTGAAAGATGGAGGACAGATTGTGTTAGAAAAACTAGCCACCCTGTTTACGAGGCGTCTCCTGACGGGGAGAGTACCAGAGTCTTGGAAGAACGCTAACATCATCTTAATACATAAGAAAGGAGATGACAAGGACTTGAAGAATTACAGACCGATTAGCTTGCTCTCTGTAGTATACAAGCTATTTACAAAAGTAATTGCTAACAGAGTAAAGAAAACATTAGAATTCAATCAACCAAAGGAACAAGCAGGATTTCGAACCGGCTACTCAACAATCGACCACATTCATACTATCAATCAGGTAATAGAGAAATGCTCAGAATATAACCAACCACTATACATAGCCTTCATAGATTACGAGAAAGCGTTTGATTCAGTAGAAATATCAGCCATCATGCAGACACTGCGGAATCAGGGCGTCGATGAAGTATACATAAACATCCTGGAAGAAATCTACAGGGAATCAACTGCTACCATAGTGCTTTATATAGAAAGCAACAGAATACCAATCAAGAAGGGTGTAAGCCAGGGGGACACAATTTCTCCAATGCTATTTACCGCGTGCTTGGAGGAGGTTTTCAGAGGCCTAGATCGGGAACAGTCAGAGATAAGAGTTAATGAAGAGTACCTTAGTAATCGGCGTTTTGCCGATGAGATTGAGTAGCTGAGTAACCGAAGGGACAAATTGCAACTCATGATTATGGAGTTAGACATGGACAGCAGAAAGGTAGGTCTTAAAGTTAATCTGCAGAAAACGAAAGGATGTACAACAACCTCAGAAGAGAACAGTGCTTCGAGATAGGCAATGGTGCACTAGAAGTTGTAAAAGACTGTCAGCTTAGGACATGTGATAACCGCGGAGCCGAATCACGAGATTGAAATAACTAGAAAAGTAAGGATGGGGTGGAGCACATTTGGCAAGCTCTCTCAAACCTTGACAGGTAGATTACCACTATCCCTCAAATGAAAGGTATATAACAGCAGCATCTTGCTGGTAGTTAGCTAAGAAGCAGAGACCTGGAGACTTACGAAGAGGGTTTAGCTTAAATTGAGGACGATGCAGCGAGCAATGGAAAGAAAAATGGTTGGTGTAACTTTAAGAGACAAGAAGAGAGCAGAGTGGATTAGGGAAGAAAGGGGGGTTAAGGATATCATAGCTGAAATCAAGAAGAAGAAATGGACAGGGGCCGGGCATGTATCGCGTAGACAGGATAACCGCTGGTCGTTAAGGGTAACTAACTGGATTCCCAGAGAAGGAAAGCGGGTTAGGGGGAGACAGAAGGTTAGGTGGGCAGATGAGATTAAGAAGTTTGCGGGTTTAAATTGGCAGCAGCAAGCACAGGACCAGGTTAACTGGTGGAACTTGGGAGAGGCCTTTGTCCTGCAGTGGACGTAGTCAGGCTGATGATGATATATATATATATATATATATATATATATATATATATATATATATATATATATAGACAGAGAGAGAGAGGAAGTGGTGAAAACCTTTTCCTATTAACTTCCAGGCTGTCTGTACCAATTGCAGACATTTATGAAACGATGTTTTGTTTTCCAAAATCACAATTAACGTGACTGGTTTGTACTATTAGGCCGACATGCGCAGGCGCTAATCGAGCTCCCTGAGTCTATTTTAGAGGCGTACAAATCTTTCGTCAAGGTGCGTCGCACTGCTTTGTTTCAACGATTTGGTTAGACCTAACGCAGCCTTCTTTTTTTATCATTACATAACTGCAAAGATACTGGCCATATTTCGAAAGTGCAATAGCGCAGCATATTGCAACGCTGATGAGTGCAAAAAATTTGCTTATTTAACACTGGAAACCCGGACGCAGTACAAGCTCTACTCAGAAGGTGGCTAGGGCGCGCGAAACGACGTTTTTTTTTTTACTACTCTTCGCGAAAATAGGCCGTCTAGGTAATCCGAAAGGCTCAAGTGTAACTTACTGAAACACCCACAGCATGGTGAAGAAATCCAGCTCAACGGAGTCATAACCCGTTAGACCAAACCTGCAATAGAGTAGAAATTCAAATACTTGGATGCCTCTGGGTAAGTTGCAGACGTGATCTGTACAGACGTTTAGGATTTTTCTCGCGTTGCCATTGCGGTGATACAATTTCTGGCTTTACGTTAACTTGCCGTTGGAAGATTTCTGAACACACTGTTATTACGTAGTGCAATTAGCACATATTGATTACGCAAGCCGATTCAACTATAAAATTGCTCGCACGTATATTTCGCTCTCTAAGGCGTCATTGCCGAAGCGACATAAATCCATAAAATATAATAATTTTTTTTGGCGGAGCTGCTGTGAAAACAAACCTCCGCCGTTTTAAAATGGGCGTCCACTACACACCCATTCTGGTGGAACGTGAATGCATTGGAACCTCAGGAACACGCTGTTCCTGTTTATTAACCCTTCATTTGTCGACACTGTTGAATTTATTGGTAGTGGAACGAAAAGCACCCAGGAAGGCGGGGGTTGAATAATACGGGAAGGTTCGCACACACAAAAAAACCTTACCATCTTGCCGAAATTGGATGTCAGACAAGTTTTTCATCGCAGCTTTGGTATTCAGTCTTTCGAAGCGTTCACGAATACTGCGTAACACACAAAAGCTGTCATGCCACAAGGAGAGTGCTGTCGAGCACAATGTCCACTCCTGTGGAGCAGTCGTAAGGCTGCTCGGACCGAAAGTTTCGAGGATTTGATCCAAGCTGATGCGGTCGCGTTATGACGGAATAGAAATGCTAGAGACCCGTTTAGAGTGCGATGTAAGAACATGTTACACGGCACAAGATGGTCGAATTTTTGGAGCCCTCCACTATGGCGACTCTCATGATCATAATGCTGTTTCAGGACGTGAGACATTATAAATTATTTATACCATTATTAAGAACTCTTGTTACTCCCGCTAGCCTATTACGTCACGGTTGGCCTCTATTCCTCTGCTTATAAAGATATGTGAGATTTTAGCCTCAGCCACGCACTGTACCTGCCTGAGGCTATGGATAATCGCTGCGACGTCCACGATATTAGTGTATCGGTTAAGGTGCTCAGCTGCTGACCCAGAGGTCCCGGATTACATCCAAGCCAAGGTGGTCGTGTTTTCACGGAAGAGAAATTCTAGAGACCCGTTTATAGTGCGATGTCAGAAAATGTTACACGGCACAATATGGTCGAATTTTTGTGGAGCCCTCCCCTAGGGCGACTCTCATGATCATATTGTGGTTTGGGGAGGTAAGAAAAACATAATAATAATAATAATAATAATAATAATAATAATAATAATAATAATAATAATAATAATAATAATAATAATAATAATAATAATAATAATAATAATATATTATTATTATTATTATTATTATTATTATTATTATTATTATTATTATTATTATTATTATTATTATTATTATTATTATTATTAGGCACTCTGGTTACTCCCTCGATAGGCTACCACATCACGGTTTGCCTCTATTCCTCTTCTTAGATATGAGAGTTTAGCCACAGCCACACACTCTCTCTGCCTGAGGGTATAGATAATCGTTGCGACGTCCATGATGGTAGTGATAGTTAAGGTGCTCAGCTGCTGACCCAGAGGTCGCTGATTTCATCCAAGCTGAGGCGGTCGTATTTTGATGGAGCGGAAGTGGTAGAAACCCGTGTATGGCGTGACGTCAGTGAATGTCAAAGAAGTTCTGGCAGGCTTAATTTCTGGAGTAGATCTCATGGCGGTCTCTGATAATCATTATCGTGCTTTGGGGTTTCGCAACGAAAAATGGCCGTCATTAGTAATATTATTGTGCGGACGTGAATTTGCAGCGTTCCAGAAAGATTATATTCCTGACTTCGCAAAACTATATGCAGTTTCCGTGAGCTAATTCTTGGTGTTGGGTGGTCCCCTGGAGATAAATTATTGATGGGATATGATTAAAATTTATTGTCCGAATTTTCTGTACTGAAAATGAAAAGAAGCAGTTTTGTTTAAGTTGCGCATTAGCACTTTGATAGCATCTGCAGTAGTTCACTTGACGTTAATGTTTTAGGGTTTGTGCACTCTCAGCATTCACCTTAAATATAGACGCTTCCCACCATCGGAGCACTTTTCTGTAACGTTAAAACAATAGATGACTGACCACATGTGGTGCACGTTCTTTCAACTTCTTTTTTAAGCGAATTTAGGCACGTTTTAAACATTAAAGTAGAGGCAATAAACAACTAATAGCATGATTTAGGACATAGTAACATTATCACTCGCACACAGGTACCTTATGACAATTTTTATACATCAGAAACTAATACCTCAATGAAAAATGGTCCCCCTTAAACGTCACTACGGTCACTAATATATTTAATTTTTGATTAGCGTCGTGCTCTGGACAGTCTTGTGTCATATGCTACGTGCCCCGGTGTGATCATGTTTCTCGTTCTTCAACAACTTCTATAATTTCGCTGTTAAATGAGATGGATACTAGGAGTCCAGACTTACATCCATGCCGTCCCTCCTATAGCATTTGTTGGGTCGTTCATACCCTGATGATGCACGATAACGGCGCTCTTCAATATACTGCAAAACGTTTTGAATGTGCCATAGTCTGCAAAGGAAAGTGTCATTGTAAGTTACCATCCAACAATAACATTGTGCTCTCACCTTTACGTCTCGCGATATCTTATATTGCGTGCTGCATTTAATGTTGCATGCTTCCCATACTGATCTTTCAATCAAGATGTCCTGAAGGCTGTGGGTGACGAGTAATTATGGCCAACTGTGCAACGTATGAGAACTATATTGCAGTCGTGACTTCTGGTTACAAAGAAGCGCTTGCCGATTGTGTGAATTGCACTTCCTGTGGCTATTTCATATGCAAATACGGCGCATAATTTTGTTTCATGCATGCTGCTGCCATAACGTAGGCGCAACGTTAGGTATGTATCGAAGTTTAAGAATTATTGAATGCTTGTAGTGTGCTTAATCTAACAAACAAGGGGTGGATATGTAATTTATTAATTAGCACACAGTCTTAATAGTTATTGCCATATTAATTCTAGAATTGCATTTACTTATCTCATATAAATGTCTTTGTGAGAAAATATTGACACCAGTTCTACAACTCTACCATAGCGAATACTATAGAACATGTAATGTCAACGAAGACCTGAATTATAGAAGTACTTGTGTTTCACTGTCTCCAAATTAGAGACTGCATAGGGCCTCACTACAAAATTCTTTAAAGCAGTCAATACTTAGTAGCTCTTGAACATACTTAATAAAGAAACAAATCTGTGGGACGAAGAAAACACTGAGGCGCCCAAGTGTGGGGCTGGCGACGTGCGGCCGACTGCTTACGTGGAGACTCCTGGTATAGATCGTGTCTGTAAAAGTGAGGTCTTGCCCCGGCATTGACCTGTAACGTTGCGCATAGTTTTTAGTGATCGCGGGGGCGTAGGACTCTGATGCCACTTGTAACTTTTTACTTTTATAGGCTTTGCTTCCTAATTATATAAACGACGTTTCAATTGAGTCCAGCATTTCTCGGGCCATCGCATAAAACACTGCTTCAGCGGGACCTCAATTGCTGGTTCCTGTGACCGCGTTTCAAATTGGTCACGTGATGTTCCGAGGTATCCAATACAATATGAATAGATGCAATCCTAACTCAACGGTGAAAATAGTGAAACGTGCCGAGCAATCTTTCTCTTGTGCTTCAGGCTGAGAAGGCGTTCACAGGTAAGCGTGCGCTGGCGTTGGATACGCGAAAGGCTGTTCGCTGTCCACGGTGAGAGAACAGGCCTACATTTGCGATAGGAGTTCACTTATTCTCTCTTCTTTCTCTCGTCCTTCACTACAATCGGCAACAACTTTTGTTGCTACGCTGCTAACCTGGCGAACGTGTAGCCAGGATTGAATCCCCAAACCGGCTGCCTGACCAGGGTTTCACCAGAAGGCACAGGACCCCTTCTACTGCGTTTGTGCATCGGTTGCTCCTGGCCTGCAGTTCGTAGTCACTGGCTTGCGAAAGCCTCGTGCCCTGCGTAGAGTGCGTGTGGAGCAGCTGGAACTATTGAGCACCTGTTGTGGGCTTGCCCAGCGCTTCGCGTACAAAGAGCGGTCTTGCTCGCCGCACTCCGTCGCTATGGTCTACCCGCGGATACATAGTGGGACCTCCTCGTCCTTGCACTGGTACCCTACTCTGGTGTTCAATGCGGTTTTTCACTAGCATGACAACCAGCTGTAAAAGCTGACCGCCAGGCTCCCAGTCATGAACGCCATTTCTCTTATTCTTCTCTCTCTCCATATCTTTGATACTCACAACCCTCCCCACAAACGCTGAGCCATGCTTTTGATTAAGGCTGCAGAAGCAGGGTCTTCTCTTTTCATCAACCTATCTTTCTCTCTCTCTTTCTTGGCATTAGAACGAAAGCCACAGAGCAAAATCGCGTGCATTCTACCGCCAGTAAATGTAGTTCCACAATAGCACCCGTAATCTCCACGAGTAATATAAATTTTCCACCTCTACTTTCTACGTAGACCTATTCGAGACAGGACACAGCTCACATCAGGAGATATTCGTATATTTTATGATTTATTTTATGAGGCGTGTCGTTTCTGAACGCTTGAGAAAATTGCGCCTTTTTACGTATACCTCGAACGCTAAGCTGGCGTCTGCGTCTACATGAAACGCTGATGGTGCACCCCCGTCACCTTCCACAGCATTAGGAGATCCGTGTCAAATTGGACTACTTCGTGTAGTGCTACATGTGCGCATGCTTCGCCTCCGTAGAGTTTCCTTCTCTGCCAATAACAGGGGTCACCGAGTATACACATCTCTACTTGTAATCTTGACTGCATTTTTGTACTATTTACTACATTCGATTGGCCACGGCAATAAAATAAGAGACGACTGACTATGCTATTCTTTATCCTCTTTCTTCCACATTCCCATTCTATTCATCCACACATCCACTACTCCTAACTCTCGCTTCCTCTTCCCGCCTTTTTATTATACTCATTCATAGTGTCATACATATCATAGTGTCCGTTCTGCGGCGTCTGCGACGATGCCGCACATGCGTAACTATTCCTCATTTTATATTCTCCCTCGCAACTGTGCGCTCTCCTCCTCACCTCTGTTTATCTACGCAGAAAGCGCCGTGCAGCAAATGATTGCACGCAACTCTGCAGCCAGAGCAGGATAACGTTCGAGGCCGTTGCAACGCCTGGCCTTCGACGGTGCTCAGGCTTCCTCAATACACTCTCACTCTAACATTCGTTAGGGTGTTGCTTGAGTTGTGTTGACAAGTGAAACGAAACTCGATGTGCACCCATGGTGATATTTTTCAGTCTCACTATATTGGTCCTTACGGGAAGATGATGTGTATTGTGTAAGGTCTGCTAATGATCGGCGTTGTTACTGTACACTGCAACCTATATTGAAGGTAATAAGCCGTAACTCTGATTAGGACCCCATCAGTTAAGTGGAGCCTACATCCGTAAAAGAACGTAGCAAATTATTACATCACCGATTCAATGGTTTTGATTTACTTACAAGTGTACGGCCCCTCTCCAGTTTCTTTTACGTACAATGGCTTCCTAAAATCAGGGAAAATCATGCTATTAGTACAAGTTCATTCATTCAGACATTCGATGCTGTGTAAAACACGAAAATATTCCGTATTTTACACAAACACATGAACAATAATGATATATCTACTATTTATGAAACACAAATACTTCTTATACGAACATATACCAATCACATCAAAAGGTGAAAGAATGAAAAGCATAATTCTTTTCTTTTTAATAACCATAGCAACAGGTGTCTCATTCAATATGCGCTTTAGCTGTAAGTGTCATGTGACACCTTTTCAAGTGGCCATCAAACGTATTCACTAAGGCAGCTTATTGCCTCACGAATTCACTGCTGAAAAAAATTTTAGAGTCCGTTCAGTCCGAGTGGAGGTACAAAAATTTGTCGCACACTGCGTTTGCATTCTCCTCTCGTAGCGAGGAGTACCGGAAGGTAAGCATCGAGAGACGGTGAAAAGGAAAAGAAAATACGTCATGCGTTACTCGTGACTTCGAGCACTTTTAGGGGCGAAGCTCCTTGTGCCGTGGGTTATGCACCCACGATGTATGAGTAGTAGTAGTATAGTAGTAGTCATCGCAGTAGTAGTTGGTAGTCTTCTCTGGTTTAGTCCTTGGAATGTCCGCTGGGTGGCGGCACTTCTATATCATGAATATATGATGAAAAAATGCGAGATGGTGGTTCTTAGAGTGTTCACTAGATGACCGGACGGATGCACGGATGGACACACAGACAAGCAGATGGTCAGAAGGAATTGACGCGTGGACGGACCAATAGATAGACAGGAAGGCAGATGCACGGGCGGACGGATGGGCGGATGAACGGACACACAGACGGCCACACGAGCGGGTGCATAAATACGCTCGGGTGTACGAACGCACGCACGAATGGGCGCGTGTACAGACACACAGAAGGACATACGCATGGACAGACAAGCAGATGCAGCGGACGTATGGACACACTGGACGGAGGCACGAACGCATGGATGGTCGCATGCATGGACGGACGAACGCACGAATATATGCACGGAAGGGTGAAGGAACGCACGGAAGGACGCATGGATGGACGCATTGACGGACGCATGAATGGATGGAAGCAACAACGAATGAATGGACGAAAGTGCGGACAGACTGACGGACGCTTCACCTCACTCATTATTCGGTCCATGATATGTTGTATTTTTTTTGTTCACCCCAAGTTAATGGGCTGATCACGCCGGCACCCAGACGTAAGTAGATAGATAGATAGATAGATAGATAGATAGATAGATAGATAGATAGATAGATAGATAGATAGATAGATAGATAGATAGATAGATAGATAGATAGATAGATAGATACGCAGGTAGCCCGGCAGGCTGAGGATCGTCGCTTCGTAGGTTCAGTAGTACGCGACAAGTTTCCTACGATGAGTGTTATGCACAGGTAGCGATATCCTCCCAAGCTCCCTCACCTGCCTGCTCCCAGCCCCATTGCACAACGCTGATAGCTCCACCTCTGCCACTTATGAGTGTCAGGCATTTTGCTCACGGCAGTGGCCAATATGGCATAGAGGGGCAGGGGCCGATCGACGTTGTCAACACTGGGCAATGCTGCGATGCACCTACACCTACGGGGCAATTATGATCGCAAGAGAACATCCGATTCAAACAAACATCACCACTGACAATTTCAGAGCCCACATAAGACACCTCTGTCGAGTTCCTGGTCACCATGTTGCAGTGTTGCCACTTGAAAGACCACAAGCGATGTTTTCAAAGATTTTTGCTGCCCAAAGAGAATACCTTCTTTTTGGCTTCTCTCCAGCAACAAAACCAGCGTCACCTCCGTGGTGCCTACAACAACCACAGGTGTGCCTCACTATTCCAGGAATAACGAACAAGAGCCGTCAATCAACAGTGATCCTATGACAGATGACATTATCGCTACTCAACGACAAATACGGCCAGAGGATCCGCATTTACACCGATGGATCAGTCTCGGCTGAGAGCTCCACAGGTGCTGTTGCCATCCCGACGTACCAGGTCACTATAAAACTCAAATTATCGCATAGGACAATATCCACAGCAGTGCAGCTTGCCGCCTTACGTGCTGCTATACTTTAAATTGTGGAAGCCCAGCCTCGAAAATGGGCCGTGTTCTGCGACTCCAAGGCATCCATTCAGAGCTTACAATCAGCTTTACAACAAATGGTGCATCAACAACTAGTGATATAAATAAAAGAAGTGCTTCACGAAGTTTTACCGAAAGGACGAGACGTGGTATTCCAGTGGTTACCAGGACATCGTGGTATTGTCGGTAACGACCTTGATGATAATGCTGCCTGATCCGCCCACGTGGACGCCCAGACAACCCCGATTCCTTTGTCGAGAACCGAAGCTGCAAGGGGCGTTCACTCGTTCGCTAACACAATGTCGAAAACTTGGCTGAGTGACCCCAGTGTCGGGAACCGCCGCTTACATAAATTAGACCCATCGAAAAAGCTTCAAGTTCTATCGGACCTCTCCCGCTAGGATGCAACTTTACTGTGCCGCCTGTAGTTAGGATTAGCTTTTACGAAGGTGTACTCCTTTCGCATAGGAATGGCGGATAGCTCCCGATGTGAATCGTGCGACACTGACGAGACGATAGAACATCTACTGTTTTCATGTGAACGTTTTGTGAGTGAACGCAACTTGCTACGCGTAACGTTAGAGACACTGGACAGTAGACCTTTTTCCGAAGAGAAGATCCTTGGTTCATGGCTCTACGCGTCGCAGGCCAGCAAAGCGACACGGGCATTGCTAAGTTTTCTGAAGACATCCAGACTACGCGACCGCTTACAAGCGTGCAATGGACAAGGTCACATCTACACACACGTTGCCCTTCACTTCTCTCTCTCTCTCTTCTCCTTTAATCCCCTCATTCCTTCCCCCAGTGCAGGGTAGCAAACCGGACGTGCGTCTGGTTGACCTCTCTGCCTTCCATTTTTTCCCTTCCTCCTCCTCCTCCTGGGCAATGCTAGCCGTGGTACATGCCCAACAACGCTGCCTTCACGTACATACGCATCATGCGCCGGCTCGTTAAGGAGCCTTCCTACAGAAACTCCCCGTGCAACTCCAAGCAGGCTCCTGTTACCTCATTCACTTTTTGAATATGGCGGTCATTTTTTAGCATCGAAGTTGTCGTATGGTCGAGCTCAATCCAGCGAGTGGCGAGACAACCTTTGCTGCGCGTTCCCTTTCCCTTCCTTCTCTCCTATGCTCCTCCTCTCTCGCCTCTTTTGACAGCATGCCCCGCGGCACTGTTAATGTAGAGTGAGCAATGTACTTCGTATTTCGCAGTAATTGTAGCGCAGTTTTTGAAGACGATACTCTTTCTTGGAAACCTCCTACGTAAAAAGATTGGTCTGTCTGTCTGTCTGTCTGTACACTGGTTCCCAATTAATGGTACCCTAAACGGCACCAAAGTGACCAAACGATACTTCAAAGGGAAGACCCCATCCGCAGCGCCCACCAATATTGCTCAAGATTCAGCGTTGTTACTTGTGCGACTGTCAATTAAAAAACAATTATTGCGCATATCTAAGGCACAATATCAACAGGTTAGTATTCTGTCTGTGCGACTTTTACTGGAAAAGGCATACTTAAATAATGCTAAGGACCATAGGATTTATCACGTGGCGCTAACCATGCAACGCTTGCACGAAAGGTAAGTGTTTCCAACGCTTTGCTAAGACGACAAAGTGGTGGCACCTACCCGTCGCCTTGCATTCTACACCTTATCGCCTCCGAGACGGGCGCGCAGGGCGCACGCGCTTTGTTTTTCAGGATAACTGCCAGATAGCGCTCATGTCTCACGTGGGACGTGACTTAATGCACTCTTCGCCTCCGCTGCGCACTCGAGGCACTCTAAAACAGCGCCTGCAGAATACCATTCACCGTTTTTCTTGCGCAGAACAACAAATGTGCGCTTTGTTCACTCTCTCCAGACGTCTTTCGACGTAAAGGGTGCTTACCAGCGCAAACGACTGGGCAGGAGGGGACAGGAGAAGAGACGAGACAGAACGTGTGCGCTGGTAAGCACCCTTTATGATGTTATACCAACACGCCCAATCCCACTGTCTCTTGTGTCCCTTGTGTTGTTTCGACGACATTTGCGATGTAACATGCAGGTACGGGGCCAACTTTTTTAATAACGTTACTGTAGAGCTTGTAATGCCTTTCGTACGCAGCCGAAATTTCATCCTCATATTAAGGAGAAGTTCCTACGACAATCAATTCTTCAAGTCGCTTTTTGTTAGAGGCACAACAGGAAACACTCGCTCCGCTTCTGCGTTAGACTTAAAACAGAACAAAAGTTTTTTTTGCCCTCTTTGAAGTATCTTGCTTTTGACAAGCACCTGATACATCCAAATAGACTTGTATGTCGATTCAGCCCCACCGCGGTGGTCTAGTGGCTAAGGCACTCGGCTGCTGAACCGCAGGTCACGGGATCAAATACCGGCTGTGGTGGCTGCATTTCTGATGGAGGCGGAAGTGTTGTAGGCCCGTGTACTCCGACTTGGGTGCACGTTAAAGAACCGCAGGTGGTCAAAATTTCCGGAGCCCTCCACTACGGTGCCTCTCATAATCAATTAGTGGTTTTGGTACGGTAAACACCACAAATCAATGTATCTCGATTCAGAATTCAATACTGGCATGTTGGCACTCACAATCCCCAACTCAATAAATGCACCGTACTTGCTCCTCAATACAGCTCAGGGCATTCAAATACGTTTTTGGGGAGGTTTCTAAACCCTTCGTCGTATTCGGCCCCTTAACATGATGACACGATGGGCAGTCTGCAGCTAGAGACACCGGAAAAACAAGACTGACTGGGCTCTTCACATGCAAATGTTTTTTTTTTTTTTGCGTCTGTGTTAACTGATCACGCAAACAACACCTCACACGCATTCACGTTAGAAATGCACGGAGTGCATCGTGCGCCGCACACAGACATAAAAAGAACGGGCACTTGTTTCAAAA